TCGTCCTCGTCCTCGTCCTCGTCCTCGTCCTCGTCCTCGTCCTCGTCCTCGTCCTCGTCCTTGTCCTCCTCGTCGTCCTCGTCCTTGTCCTCCTTGTCCTACTCGTCGTCGTCGTCGTCGTCGTCCTCCTGGTTGTCCATACCTCTCGGTTGTGCTCAATTTGTAGCTTCCCATACCCACACCCCCACAAACTGTACCCCCACCCCTTATCATAGTCTTATTATACCCCCTCTCTCGAAGCAAGCTATAGACCCCTACCCCCTTGTTGACAATTGTTTTTCTACTCTGCAACCCCCCATCGCGTATTCCTCGCACCGGCCATGGCGGCCCTGGCGAAGGATGTCGAGCGTTTGCTGAAGAGAAGGAAGATTGAGCGAGAGGATCGGCAGGACATGTTAGACTCCGTCCTCTCCTCTCTTCAGAAGGCCCTCACATCCCTACAAGGCAGTGAAGGTAAGGAAAACCTTGACACCTCCCTTCCCTTCTCCCTCCTCTCCTCCCCTGCTAACGCTCGAAGCAACTTGCCAGCGACCAGCTGGGTGGTTGTCTTGAGCTAAGCGCTTGTAGTCTGTCCTCAAACGTTTCCTCTGTGTCTCCCTATCCCTCGACTTGCTCTCCTCTCCTGTGTAAATCCCTTGCATGTTGAGAGGGAGTTTGTGCTGTAGCTGAAACAACATGGCGCGCGGCGCATGCTGCATCGCCTCGAAACCCTGCACCCATGCCCCTGACTGTGACGCCAGATTCGATGCAGTGCGAGACGAAGGAGGGAGGAGAGAAGCGCGCAGAGGCGGAAGAAGTTGCACAAGTCCTGGAGACCCTTGAAGGAGAGCTGAGCCTGGAACTCTGGACGGAGAAGCTGGAGGCGGACTACAAGGGGCTGAACATCCAGCTCAACAAGGTGGGCAAGAGCGTCGACAAGACCATGCCGCCCGACCTCGAGCGAGCATGCAGGCCGATACAGCATAGCGAGTCACAAGTGAACCAGGTCATCTTTGACCACCTGGTGCGGTCGGGGAGACTCGAGATAGCTCGGTGCTTCGCCAAGGAGGCAGGGATCCCCTTCAAGGAGGAGGACGTTCAGCCCTACGTCGAGATCTACTGCATCTCCCGGGACATCGGCCAGCAGGAGCTCGACAGCGCCTGCAAATTCGCCAGCGTGCATGCTGGCAGGCTGGAGGAAGTGGACAGCGCACTACCCTTTCACCTGGCCAAGATGAAGTTCCTGCAGCTGCTGCAGAGAGGCTGCGAGGAGGAGGCGGTAGCGCACGCTCGCAAGAAGTTCCCCTCCTTCTACGAGAGGCACCGCAAGGAAATCCTCCCGCTCTTCGGCTGCCTGGCCTTCCAACGAAGGGCAGGTGCCTCCCCCTACAAGAGCCTCTTCGATCCCCAGCTGTGGGTCCAGCTATCGCAGCTCTTCAAGAAGGAGGGCAGCAGGGCCCTGGGCCTGTCGTGCGACACTCCCCTCATCGTCTGCGTGCATGCCGGCATCGCCGCGCTCCCCAAGCTCTACAAGTTCGCCACCGTCATGACAGAGAAGCTCGGGGAGCTCAGTAGCGGGACGACCCTGCCGATCGAGGTCAAGCTTCACCGCGACTTCCAGTACCATAGCGTCTTCATGTGCCCAGTCTCCCGCGAACAGGCGAGAAATCTTCTTCATCTCCTTCCTCCTCTCCTCGCCCCCCCGCCCTCTTACTGCCTCCTCATCTTCCTTCCCTCGATCCTGCGACAGCATTCTTGACTCAACACTCCTCTGACCTCTTCTCCTTCTTTCCTCCCGGGCTGCTCTTGGATCTCCTCCTGCTCCTGCTCCCGCCCCCCCTCCCCCCCCCTCTTCCTCCACGTCTGACTCTCCCTAGGCGTCTCATGACAACCCTCCGACCCTCCTGCAGTGCGGGCACGTGCTGTGCGAGCTCTCGCTCAAGAAGCTCACGAGAAGCGCTGGCCGGCTCAAGTGCCCCTACTGTCCTCGGGAAGTGAGCCTCAGCGGGAGCGTGAGACTGACGTTCTAAGGGAGGAAGCGACAAGGAGGAGATAGTGGACAGATCGATCTTGGCAAGAGTGCAAGGGAAGGGAGAGGAACGGTAAGAAGGAGGAGGGAGGAGGAGGAGGAGGAGGAGGAGGAGGAGGAGGAAGGAGGAGGAGGAGGAGGAG